GGGGGGTGGGGGCCGCTGCCACGCTGGTCAGCCGGACCCACCGGACTGTGCGAGGTGTGACCGATGCTGGACCAGGCCTTTCGGTCGTTTGCCTGACGGACAAGTCTATTAACGGGAGCGGGGCCGCAGGGGCGTGGTTATGACACGTTGGCTGACCGCAATGCACTGTGCAACAAGATCTCGCATTAAACAAGGCTGGCCCTTATCGCGCGGCGCCGAACCGAAACGGAAAACAAAGAAAAGCGCGGGAACAGTTTGAAAATGGTATTTCACCCTTTTTCAAGGTGACGTGTTATGGGTGATGTAGAAAAGGGGCCAAGGACTGTCGTTTGGCAGAGTCTGTAGATAGAGGGATCGAATGACATTTTTACGCGGGTCTTTTGGAACACATATTTGTACCCCCTCCCTCTTCTAAAGTCACGTGGTTCGAAGTCCCCACCTTTGAACGTTTCACTTACTTTCACCTTTTCACTCTGGGTGTCCTGGTTAAAAAAAATCACTTTTATGAATGTTAGCTTATCAGTGCAGCGTGAGATGTATGCTGGTCCACGCTTTACTTATGCCGCCCCCCCCCCTCCGTCCACCCTTTCGCCCAGGCCCAGATTCCAAATAAATGCAGGCCAGGCTGCAGCGAGATTAGCAATTTAGACGCCCGGATTTTCGGGAGCAGCCGTTGCACGTCCAAATAATCAGGTGCACTCTGTTGCATTCGTTGGTGTCGTGCATGACCCGACTCACTATGCTGCTTAACTTTGCCCCTTTGACGCTTTTTTTTTCGTGTTTCCTAAACGGGCCGTTGTAAGTACGTGGCCCCGAGATCACACATGACGACATGTAGGCTAGTAGTAGGCGGTAATGTTATTGTGACAGCCGTTATACTGAGAAGGGCACTTGTGCGTTTGCAACACACAACCGCGCGCACAGTCGAACGCGGTTCACTAATCACACACAATCGCACAATCGTACGTTGTGAAACTGGTTAAACGCACTGCGCAGCACACCCAACAAAAATGGCAAATAATAAATAGTTTCCAAGTTCAATGTCTTATCGGAATCGGCCTGCTGGAAAACGCACAACAGATATTCTGCAAGTTGCTTTTCGTTTTTTTTTTTTTCGGGGCAGAGTACTATACTACAAGAAGGCGAGTCGCGCCGCGCCACGACTCGTTTCTCCGTCAGTCCGATCCGTTGACTTTGCCGTCAGACTCGCCGCACCCCGTCATTGTCGCCGCCTTTTGCCCCCGCGCGCCTTGTGTGTTGCGAGCGCATTTTTGTTTGTCTTTGGTTAGCGATCCCCTCCTCCTCCTCCTCCTCTCCCTCCTCCGCACGACCGCCCTGGCCTGCCCCACTCCCTTTTCCTTTTCCACCCTCTTTTCTCCCTCTCTGTCTGTCGCGCCTTTCCCCTCTGCTCCCTCACCCTCACCTTTCTCACCCCCCCCCCCCCCCTCTCTCCTCTCACCATCGGGTGCTGCTACAGGCCTGGCGGTCTGTGTGAGACTTGAGGCGGGGTCCAGCGGCGGGCCGCACAGAAGTGGAAATATTGGATTTCAAACTGACCTCACCTCCGCTCACCTTTAGCGGCGCGGCCGAGACGGGGTGGGGGGGATCCGTTTGTTTTTTTCACGCGCTCAGCAGCAGCGACGGAGTCCCTGTGAAAGGCACACGGCCGGGGTGGAGGCGGACTCAGGCCACCCCATGGCCCGCAAATACGTCATTAAAATTCAATAAAGGGTCCAATCGTGGAGGGGGGGGGGGGTATCGTCGTTGTCTCAGTCACGTGACGTAGCTTGTAGTACCTGCAGAAGAACGGTACGACCGCAGCTGCTACCCCTGAGATCTGTGAAACATGTATGTACTAGGACTAGAACCCTGTGTCCAGGCGAAGACATGCCAGCACGTTGGGTTGCCTATTCACTGGCTCCAGGGGCTGCAGGCGCGGGGTGGGTGGCGGGGGAGTGGCAGCCCCCCCCCCCTCATCTCCCCC